ATATATATATATATATATATATATATATATATATATATATATATATATATATATATATATATATATATATATATATATAATACTCCACCTATTCTTTTTTAAAATTTGTGAAGAATTAATATAATTAGCCGTTCACCAAATGTTTAAACTAGAAATAGCCGGTGAATGTCTAATATATGTATAATTCATGAATTACGTATACTATGTGTATAACTGTGTATAATGAGTTTATAGGTTATTCATACTGACTATAAAAAATAAACCGTGAAGTTGACCAGCTATTTGTGTAAAAAACGAATTATTTGTCACTCCAAGCAAGTAAATTTTATCTGGAATAATTATTATTTTAAAGAAAAATAATCCTATTAATTGTAAGACTCCAAAGGTATATGGTCATTATTCACTCATTTAAGTCAGAGATAAAGATAATTTAGTCAACTTTATTTAAAATTAATTTTATTAAATATTTTCTTAATTTTTGTGCCAAAATATTAAACCGGAAGAGTACTTCAATTCTGCAAATTTGCGCAACATGCATTGATTTTCGAGGCTCCAGGAGATGTTATTGCCACGTAATATTTTAATGTAATCTCTAAATTTTATAACTGAAACTCTTTTGGATCAATTTTATGTGGCACAAATCTAGTTCCGAAAGCAATAATTTTACGTTAATATTATCTCATTAGCAGTAAATAATTTAGAGGATTTACTTCTCTAATACACCTTCCGAATTCTTAGGTTTCATGTCTAAGAAGTGATAAGTGAATGTCTAATTCCAAAGTACCTGTCTATACTAACACTTTACTATAAAGTCAAGCTTTTATTGGAACTAATTTACATATTATATTATATTATATGTTTTTTATAGCAGCATTTTGCTATAACAATCAAAAATATCCGGAAAAAATGGAGCTGTTATATAGAGATTTGACGGCAGTAGTATTCTTGCTTGGTTTGGATTAGTCCATTTTCTAGTAAGTCGAATCTCTTCCAATTATGAACATTTATTTGGTCAAAACTTTGGAGATTCTGCATATCTATTCCAAATTCATACTAAATCAATTGAGGATTAGGATTAGCTCCAGTGAAATTAGCTCCACTAAATTTCAATGGAGCCGTGGATATAAGCCACGTTTGCAAGTAAAATATTAATGGCCTGGATCAATTTCTATGATACTCTTCGAGTCTCTTATTCATTTTTTTATTTCAGCTTTAAATAATAGGAGAATTTAATAACACAAGATATTTATATAGAATACTCTTTCAGTTTTCCTTTACCTATTTTATGTACTAAACAAATATTTTAACAAATTTAAAAAAAAAAAAAAAAGGACACCTAGATTTTAAAAATCATTGTCAGTGTTCACAGAAGAAAAATATACGTATTTACTTTTGTATTTATTTAACAAAAAGGCATACTTCTTCAATTTTACTGCACTTGTTTTTTATTTGTTTTCGTACTCCATTGATTTTTATTTGTGATTATAAGAAGTAGGGTGTTCATAAAAATTCGAAAAATTGAACCAAATCGAAAATCAAATCAAACCGACCAAAAAAACCGATACTTTTTGGTTTGGTTTGGTTTTGGTTTTGAATTTTAAAAACTAATCAAATTTGGTTTGGTTTTGGTTTTAATCAGAAAAAAGCCGAAAAATAACCGAACCAAACCGACTATAGGAGTAGCTATTTCAAATTTATTATTACACCTATATATATGTATATTTTTATACAAAGTTTCAAAAATTTAATGGTAAATGTTAATAGTTTGCACTTTTAGTATAGTGTTTTACCTTTACATTCTAGTTTGATTGGTAGTTTTCTTTTGTTAAGTGTAAGAATCCATTTCGTGTTAATAATAATTAAATTCACGAATTAGAAATGCTGTAATATACTCTTTCCCATAACTTCTCATACCAGAATATATTTTTAATTGAGTCCTTAAATTATTCATCACTATTTGATTCAATTATCATTAATATATCTTGGTAAATAATAGATTTCTCAAAGGGCAATTGATTTGATAGTGTTACGTTGAAAATGTGGTCTCCGGAATATGTGTTTGGTAGTGTATGTCTTATATTTTAAAAAAAAAACGACAAATAACCGAAAAAATTGAAAAACCGACAAAACCCGACATAAACCGAATCGAGAAAAAACCGACTTAATTGGTTTGGTTTGGTTTTAATATTTGAAAAACCAACTTACTTGATTTGGTTTCTTTTTAGGGGAAAACCGATCCAAACCGAACCATGAACACCCTAAGAAGTACGTATATATTAAGAAAAGAGGACAAATTCTTGTTCTCTTCCTTCTTTTTTTTTCCTTCCGAAAAGTGGATAAATTCCACTACTTCTTGTTTATAAACATTTTTGAATGTATAGGACAACTAAAGCAAAATTGAGAAGTATTTTTATGCAAGAACCATGGGCTTTAAAATATAATTTAATGGTGAAATAAATAAAAAATGGAATGAGTATAATAGAAATTGATCTAGGCCATTAGTACTTCTCTTTCACACGTGGCATACATCCACTGCTCCATTGAAAATTAATGGAGCTAATTTTACAGTAGCTAATCTTTTCACCTCAAAATAATAGTCGAAAAATGTATAACTTTTATATATATTTTTTATTTTTCTATATGTTATACATAAAAAAATATAAAAAAGTTATACACTTTTACGGCTACCGAATATAAATAGTTTCGGGCTAAAAGTAATCTTTGCCCGAAAATATTCTCTCTTTTTTCAGACTATCATATCATTGCATATACACTTCCGTTGCCTTTTCACCAAACAGTAAAATAAGAAGAAAAAACAAAAGCAGCCCGGTGCACAAAGTATTCCACGTTCATGCAGGGTCCAGGAAAGGGCCGCACCCGAAAGCTGATATTTGTACCTAACTCTTACTACAACAACAACAACAGCAACCCAGTAGAATCCCACTAGTGGAGTCTAGGGAGGATATAGTGTATGCAGAACTTGGCTGTTTCCAAAATACCTCGGCTCAACAGACGAGCTAACTCTTACTCAAACAATAAAAGATCACACACCATGTAATAACAACATAAAGAACAACGCTAGCACCACTACTCTTGCAACAACACAAGTCAGATTGCAACAACACAAGGTGACTCAGGGTTCAACTATAACTCTTGCTAGTAGTATTACTCGCGCAAAATTATCGTTTACACTTATCCATGGGTCAAACAGGATATGCAAAAAAATCTGAAGGTACCATGGTAATTTATTTTACCTATGCTCCAAGGGAACCGAAATATATCCAACATCTTGATAGGAATGTCTTTAGCAGTCCTGATTTTCCAGTCAGTCCCTTGTATTATAATGAACCCGGGAACATAAAACTTCCCATATGTAGAGCAAAGCAGGATATCGATCACATAGAAGGCTCTCGTAGTGCAGTGGCCAAATTCAGTTCGGGTTCTAATTCACCTAATGGGGTGAAGAAGCAGTCAACCATGTCGATGGTAACTTCTTCCAGCCGCGTGGGACCCCACTGAATGTTCAGTACAAGAACGAATAAGTTTCCTTTTCTTCTCTTAGCTAAAATAAGAGAGAGGGGAGAGGGTAGGAAATTAAGCATGCATGGAAGACTGTTCATTACCTTTGGAGCAAAGTCCTTGTCAACCAATCTAGCACGAACACCCTGAAAATGTTTTTGAGGATAAATATCCTACCTTAACATAAAAAATCTCAGTGGAAAAAATGCTACATTTGCTGGTATATGAAATTTAGTTTTCAAGAGCTCATTGGTTTGAGTTACAAAAAAGGGCAGCCCAGTGCACAAAGCATCCCGCGTTCATGTCGGGCATGGGGAAGGCCTGCACCCCAAAGGGGTGTATAATGTAGGAAGTCTACCTTGATGCAAGCACCAGTGGCTGATTCCACGGCTCGAACCCATGACCTATAGGTCACACGGATACAATTTTACCATTGCTCTGAGGCTCCCCTTCCATTTGTTTGAGTTATAAGAAAATATAATACTGACATAAAAAACTCTGCAATACTAATAATAGAACGTTTAGATTCCACCATGAAACCTACATTACTTAATGCAACCCTGTATTACTAATACAAAAGATGGTTTCCGATATAAACTCTGCATAATCTGCATGGGTGATCTTTCATGATTACGGAATTTATGAATGATTTAAGCGGAATAAGATGTGAATCATCTTCAGTTCTAATCCAGGTATTGCCAATATGCTTATTCTTAAGATTGCAAATCACTAGATTACCCTTTTTATTCCAGTTTTTACTTTGGCAAAAGATAGGGAGGTACAATGCAGAAAATGCTAAGTGATTTCATCCCATCTACCTAAGCCTTGGTGACAGAGTTACCTTGTAGTTGTTGGTGGGAGGTAGCAAGTATACATGGAAATAGCCAAAGTACGCGTAAGCTGGCCGGACACCACTGTTTTTTTTGTGTGTGTATATAACCTCACATTTAAGGTACAATGATTTACTTCCAGCACTCAGAAATTTTTTCCTCCTTCCCTCTCCCTCCACATTCTATAACGTATATGGTGCACACAAACTTGTACAGTCAAGTGTTAGAGGAAGACATACCTCACAGAAATCACCGGACATCCGTTTGGACACCCAATTAACGGATATGCGATATTCACGAACTAGACACTGATCAAGGGGTTGAAATCTGCCTTCTCTAATCTACATTTTGGCAGCAAAAATGAAGTTTAAATCATGAAAAATCTGGAATGCAAAAGCAAAGGAAATGGTTAGCAGCTTACTGATTTCAAAGCCACTTTCAAACTCAATGGGGAGGCTTCTTTCATTTTATTAAGAGCTGCATTACACCATTCATCATGAGATTCTGCCGCCTCTCTTTCCTGCGTTTCACGACAGAGTAAACCAAGTTAAGGAACTCAGTGCAATTAAAAAAGAGAAATAAGCAAATGTTATAAGAATAGTAAAGTCCATAAAGCATGTCTAGAAAAACCATCCTCCATAACCCCTAGCAACAGAAATAAACCAGAACTTTAACAACAGCTAAACTAGATTTCTCATTTCTGAGATCAGAATACACATACACTTTTAAGGCAACACATTAAACCAATCAAAAGCGCCAGCTGAACAAATCCGAAGATCAATATCCAGGAGGAAAGGTCTTAAAATAATGTCCTAACTTCTATTACCATGCTTTAAGGCATACAAAAAGAAGCAAGAAAAAGAGAGGGAAAAAAAGACGTAGAAACTAAATAAGACCGATCCATAGCCAGAATTGCTTCACAATTATCTTTACAGCATTGGCTAGTCAATATAGTCTCTACCAAAATCACCTATTGTTCGATACTTTGTTGGAAAAGACAACTTTTAACCCTTTTTGGACTTTTTCTTTATGAAGTTTTTGGACTTATTTTTTTAGTTTTTCAATATATTTCAGCTTCAATCTTCTTATTGGACATGATCTCGGCTAAATACTTGTCAAAGCATTTGGTGTAGCGTATAGCAATAACCTATGTATGGCTGACAGAGATTTCTAGGTCATAATTCACAGGCAGCTCTAGTATTTCTCAATTTAATATATGCAAGCACTAAATTTAATAAGCTGCTCCGGACTGTGAACTATTGTTGAATAATTTATAACTAAAGAGCAAGATTAAGATGTAAACCTCCGGTTGATAAAATATTCAAAATGCCCACTATTTGGGACCTTCATAACATAGATGGCAAATCTTCTGGAACAGGATGAATATAACTTGTTTTTATGAAGTAAGGTATTATATAGCTGGCATCAAGAAGATGCAAAATAGTGCCAGGATGAATATAACTTAAATAACAAAAATAGCATCTTTGGGGCTACCCTTTCAAATGGATTTGAATAATACTGATAGGAAATGGTGCTATCCAATTTGGTTTCTAGTGTTTCAATACATGCTTCTCAGGGTTCAACACTTTAACGCTTGACACAACATTCTGATAATTCAGAGAGTAACTTTTCTCTGGGAATTTATAGTAGACCGTGTTATGCCACAAACCCAAACCTTTGTACATATTGGCTTTACCAGAATGCTGAAAAACATAATTCTTGATATTATAGATCAGTACAAGTTATGTGTCTGCATTGTACATAGAGAAAGAAAGGACAATAAGAGAGAGAGAGAGAGAAAGAAAGAGTGTGTTTCGTGAGTGTGTGTGTGTGAGAGAGAGAGAGAGAGCACTTACCAGACCTTCTATAATTTCCTCAACTGTATCCTGGCTAAAGCATTTATCGATTTTCTCAAATCTGGATCACAAAAAGGGGTTAAGAAAAAGGAAAACGGAAAGAGGGCAGACTAAAATGAAATGTGATAGAAAAAAAATGAATTTTCCTGCGAGCAAAAGAAAAGACAACATTGGCATCTTTAATGGATGTAAAGATACATCCAAAATTTCACCGAAGACAAAAAAGGGTTAAAGAGAACTTTATCGACTAGTGGTTCAGAAAGGATTGACCTGTGGACTTGGAAGATGATATGGAAGACCAAAGCCCCCCCCCCCCCCCCCAAAACCACAAACAAACAATATAGCTTTTTTCTGATGGCTAAATCACATATAGAACTGTTTAATTCATGAAAACCTGCAGAAAAGAGGCATCAAGATCTAGAGTAGATGCTTTTTTGTTTGAATCAAATGACACCATGCCCGTTCTTACACAGCAAAAAGACATGACAAATCTGGTGTATGTTTTTGAACTTAGCTGGAGTATAGTGGGTAACTTCTCAAACCCCAAAATGGTACTTCAGTTTATGGAGCTGGCGGAATATGAGAGTACACAAGAATCAGACAGATCCGGGACACCATTTAGCGGAAAAACAGTCTCAGGATTAGAGGGAGGTTGGGTATCAGGAGATATCCATTCCAGTGCAGCATTTCTTGGGAAATGGACCAAACACTTCAGGGAGAGATAATATCTGTTAAATACGGGATAGTAGATAATGGATGGCTTTCTGGTTAAGGGGCCAATATTTCTGGAGTAAAGTTTGTGGAAGGGGATTATGACGAGAAAGTGGAGATTCTTTAGAGGTATGTATGAATGTTGGACAAGGTATAGTGTTTATTTTGTATCATAGTCACCTAACTTTTAAAAATTCCATGTTTTCAGTTTGAGTTTGTACTGGATATAGCACATATATTAACTCGTATTAATTATTATAGCCAGAACACTCATTAATAGAATATTGATGTTATGGCCAATGCTTACTAGATAACATAAGGTCACCACATTGTTACCCATATTCTCCTCTCCCTCCAATTTCATCTCATTTAATCTTCGTGTCATTTTTCTGCCACTACCTTTTCTTTCCCTCTCTTTTTTTTGGGCGGCTTGCGTTCTCTGAATCTCTCCTTTCCCTTTTCTTAATTTGCATTATTATTAACAAACAGGGTAAAAGGGGGTCGTAGAACATCCAAAAGATATTGCATGTTAAAGTACTGATATATCGTACCACCATGAGTTTCTAAAACATGTCACTGTCTTAAAACTTCTTAAAAGAATCATTTAACTGAATCCTACAGTAATCTACTCTCCTCCCCTCCAAATCCATAGACTTGAGCAGGCCCCCCAGCATTGACAATGAGCATGTCGTAGAAATAAAATGATGGAAGAAGGGAAACAAAAATAAAACATTACTTGTGCAGAACACTCTTGCTATCTGGGTAAACAAGGTCACCATACTGGGCTAGAGAATTTTCAATGACAAGACGATCATCTGTGATCAATTTACCGAGACGTTCTTCCATCCAAGGAAGCCTCTGTTGAAACAGCAAACATCAGAGCTACTAAAAGGAAGAATAGGAGTTGAGAATATAGTTATAGATTAACTTATTACTAACTTCTTTGAGTGAATAGTGGGTAGCAAGACCACAAGCAATCATTTCTACACCATTAAGCTTTTCTCCTGTTAAAGCCAAATACTCCCCTGCAAAGAGATGCCACTATTAAACTCTAGCATCAAAGTTTCTATCACAGTCAAAGTAGTCGAATACATTGATATGTAAATTGCTTTAACAATCAGCATGTTTTCAGCAGTAACTAACAAAAGGAATAAAGAGAATTCATCAGAGAAATTACTGCCATTTGGTGGTATGAGAAAAGTGATCTAACACATCAACATAAAAAAAAGGGAAAATTGCAAAAAGAGGGGGAAATCCAGATTTATGGATGACTTAAATGGTCAATGCAAATAACAATGCACCTCATCATCAAAGAGACACATCATCAGTTTCAGCAGGCACAAAAAGATTCGAAAGAAATGACATCAAAGTAGGAAAACAATAAGATAATAACAGAACAATGTGGCACTTCTTCTGGTCCATGTATCAACTAGCGTAGCCCCACACACAAATCTACTTATCAGTAATATTTTGTTCAAACTTGCCTAAGTAGCCAGGAAGACGAGATAGATAATAAGAAGCCCCTGCATCAGGATGAAAACCAATTTGAGCCTCAGGAGTAGAATAAACCTGCAATGATTTTGCCATTTCACTTTGTAAGTTTAGGGCATCGTCAGTATTATGGGAAAGAAAATCATGTCAGAAAATTTAATAAGCCAGCATATCATACAAAATGCTTTCTTCAGGTAGAAATCATATCATGGTTCAAAGTTTGAGCAATGTCCTATGGTGAGTATTACAATTATCACATATACCACAATATCATGTCAGCTAAAGTTTATTGAGAATTGCATGACTCACACAGCATAAAGTGTAGCCCATTCAGCACCTAAGGATGTGACCTAGTGGTCAATGAAGTGGGTTCAGAACCATAAGGTCTCAGGGTCAAATTCTAGTAGAGATAAAAAACACTAGGTCATTCCTTCCCATTTGTTCAAGCCAGGATGGACATATTTACCTGGTACCTGTTGCTGGTGAGAGGTAGCAGGTATCCCGTAGAATTAGTCTAGGTGCGCGCAAGCTGACCCGGAAACCACAGTTATAAAAAAAAATGTAGCCCATTCATTAAAGAGAATACAAGTTGGGCATGTAGGAACAATGAACCACACAAATCAAAAAGGATATAGAAGTTTTTTTGCTAGACAGGGAAATCAGGTGTTAGAGTCAGCGCCATCGAAGAAGGTACGTACAGTTCTATCAGTTACAACGCGAAACATTCCTGGAAGCGAAATACCTGCCCCACTTCCCATTGTGACACCATCCAAAATTGCCACCTGCACATAATGATCAATAATACTTGTTGACTTAAACATGTTCGCTACAGTTTGTCACGAAGTTAAATCAGAAGACAAATTGTAAGATGATCCAATGGCCTATAATGTAACACCCGGTACTTTCCAAGCATGTCTTAGCTATGACTTAAAGCATCTTATAAACTTTTAATGATCATGTGGTAATGTCAAGATGTTGTTTTAAAGAGAGGATGGTTGAAGAAGTGCATTGAGAACAAGAGAATGTTGGAAACTTAAGTAAAAAATCAAAAGGATGACTTGACTTCTTAGTTGGATAACTCTTATATTATGAAGGCATTTGGTCATAGTTTCTGAAGCAAAACTGTAGCCGTTGAAGTCTGGTTTCCAACATTTGAAACCGCTCGTCATTTCGACTTTGTTACACAAATTATGACCATTTACTCAAGAGACGCTGAGTTGAGAAAAGAAGTCAGCAGCAAGATGCACAAATTAAGTTACTGGAGTGCACTGATAGAAAATAAATTTACCGCGATGCAGTAGCTTTCCAGTACATGGTAGCAAGGTTATTTATGGTTTTTTTATTATGTTTTAGCCCTTTGACTATATAAGCATCAATCCCAATTCGGATTTTTCATGCAGTGAAACCTCCCATACAGCTTTGATGTCTTCCAAGTACTTATGGTAACAATATATTTCACTGGGCAGATTTGACATATTTCTACCTAACACCATTTACCAAGTTTGATTTATGGATTATATGCCGAGTTAAATTATTGAATTGTGCAGATAGAGATTAATGACGTGACAGTTAAAACGGGCATTTTAAATCCCTAAGATTGATACATGCGGTGAGGCAAGGGAACTTTCTGCAGAGATCTGCCAGTAAGAGAAAAGAGATACAGCAATTTGATGACAAAACTCAATGCACAACCTCACTGACAATGAAATATGCAGAAAGAGAAAAAGAACGAGGCATACTCACATTTGGCTTGAGATATGTTCCTAACAAGTAAACAAATTTATATAATGTTTCGAAGAACTTCTTGCACTCCTCAACCTTCCCTGCAGATAAAGGAAACCATGAAAATGTTTGCCAATAGTTTGTAGGCAATAAATTGCAAAACTAGCTATTATCCTCCAGAGCAGAGAATGTTGTGAGCAAGCGTACTCATCTATTATATGATCTACTATTCTCCTCTAACTATAGGAAATTCTAAGTCCATCTAAGACTTCAGTTGCAATGTATAGTATAACGCCAGCCATAAGAAGAACCTAAGTTTGATAAAATGTGACGATTATATTTCTGAGTTAGACTCATTTGATGTAGACAAGGAGAGCTTCACAAACATGGCAGCTTGACACTATCACTCTGCCAGTTCTCTCTTATGTAGCGAGGAAATCAAATAAATTCATTGATTAACATTTCGGACAGAAGGATTAATGATGATCCATTCTCTCCTACTAGGTTGTGAGAAAGAACTGTTCCACTTAAGTATTCAATTTGTTTCTTATAGGGCTCCTTATTTTCACAATTTGCAAATGCTACATCACCTTGATTACTGATTACACAGATAAGCATTTCTCTAACACAATACTCTCACAGTTCCATCTTATGCGGCAGGGTTAGGAGTCGAGCGCCAAGCTAGTCAATTTTTTGGCGCGAAGTCGGACATAAACTTCAAAAAGTTTAAAATAGATTTACATATTTAGAACTAGATAAAGTACCACAAGTCTAAAAGCTAATAATTCTAATTATTTAAAAAATATTTAAGAAAATTGTGGTTAAAAAGATCTATTCGACTCCCCAAATAGTAATAGTGCCACATAAAATGGTACCAAGGGAGTAATATATTTTTATCAAGGTGGTGTCAGGCCACGCACTTTGACTAATCTATGAGATACCTACTACCTCTCTCAAGCACAGGTACCAAATAACTCAGTCCAACACAGAGGCACACCTTTGGGTTCAAATTCCAATAGAGGCGTCAAAGGTGTTATTTTGCCTATGTTGGAATTTGAAACCTGATGTTCCATGGTCCATTTCAGCTTCATTGACTGCTAAGCCACAATTTTGAATGCCTCTAACACATTATAATTCATTAACTTTGAGTGATATTTACACCCAAGAAAGGAGAAAACAGAAAGGGAGCAGTTATTATAACATTGAGGAGGAATACACAAAATTAAAGTCATAATCACACAAAGAACTTCCGAAGCAGCAACCCTTATGTTCACAAAAGCATCAAGCATAATGATAGCAACCAAAATAAGTTTGGAAAACCTTGAAATCCTTGAAACTATATTACAAACAAGTTTACATCTTTGTTTTAATCAGAAATTTAAGATGGGAATACTTGATCATGGCAGAATTTTAAGCCGGAGTACTTGATCATTGCAGAAATTTAAGCCGGAAATAAACTTGATCATAGCATAAAATTAAGCAAGGAATACTTGATCATTGCAATAAGGGGTAAGAAACAGAACTAAAAGCGGACACACCTTCATTAATCAACTCATAAAGAGTGACGACGTCTGCTCCAGAGCAAAATGCTCTGCCATTCCCCTGCAATATATTCAATCAAAAACATAAACATTTGATGGTACGTGCAAGTTGCTGAACTACGATACTTCAAAGTAAAAATTAAAAGAACAGGAAGGTGAAAAAAACCTTGCAGTACAATACATTACCTTCATCATGACAAATCCAATATCTGAGTTTTCCTCCCAAGACTCATACAATCTACTTAAACGAGCAGCCTAGCATTTAAAATATAGTCAACAACAGACATAAAAAACCATGTAACATATTCTGCGAAAAGGAAAAGGGAAAATGCCAAACCATAGAAGGAGTAATAGCATTAAGTGCAGATGGTCTATTGAGAATAGCTGCTCTTGATTTAGCCCTTCCTTCAACCAAAACCTGTGACAACAACACATGAAACAATAACACTTCAGTATTTTAACACAGTAAATGAGGTTTTTGACGTACTTTTTCAATTCACTGAACAGGATATGTGTGAATGAACCTGTTCTTGAAGATAATCCACTTGGGCGTGGCTGGGTTGAGCAGAGAAGTGTCTACAATGGTGATTAGAGAGGAATCGGGAATCATGTCTCCGCAATGGTTGAGTCAGTGATAGTAAAACTTTCAGTTTGTGCATTCTCATTTTCTCTCTTTGTTGAGCTTACTGAGTTTTTAACTGTGAAACAGAGCACTGGGCAACGGCGGCTCTAGGGCAAGGCAAGTTAAGCCCTTGCCTTAGCCCCAAATAATTAAGGCCCCAAAAATAAAAAGTACTACTATATTATTATATAATATATACTTCATAATTTATTTTTATATAATTATTAATAAAAGATTTTAAATTTTAATAATTTTTAAAATTTTGTAGACGTAAGATTAACTGAGTTAATTGGAAAAAAATTCTCACTAAATTAAATAATATATTTAACTTCTCATCAATTTTATTTTTCTTTCTTTATGTATAGTCTTTTTTCATGGTTCTTATGATTTTACTTTCCAATTTCAACTTCAATTTTCTAAATTACTATTTCTTTTGGTCTCATTTGATTGATCCACACACCAAAAAGCAAGTTCTTTTGTGTCTCATTTTTTTTAACTAAGAAATTCCCGAGGCAAATGTCGCAAGGTTCAAAACATGATGAATAATGGGCTCACCATTTACCATTTTCATTTAAGGGAAGAATTCAATATGCGCCCTGATGAATATAAATTATTCATGTATTTTCATACGTATAAGTAAGGATTTTTAAATAAATCATGAATAAATATATTCGATTCTCCTATATTTTCTAACAAGTTTGGCAGAGGAAAGTTGAATTGAGGAAAGAGTATTACAAGCAAAACAAGGAGGAAAAAGAGCAATGCACGTGGTAAACAAGAGTGAATCAAATTTTGAAGTCACAACATGAAGTCTTCAAGTTACAACATCAACTTTGAAGTCACAACTTCAAGACTTAAAGTTGCAACATCATCTCACATTTGCTACACATTTTCTATAAATAGACACTCATAATGTATTGTAAAGTGTGTCTTAGGGGAGAAAACTAATCTTTGGTCTCTCTCTTTGTATTTAGTATTTTCTACTAGTTGTCTTTCTTTTAGAAGAATAATATTACTTCATAAGTTTTTTCTTTTAAATTAGTTTTTGTTACTTCGTAATGGAGTAACTTCTTTTGTTGGGATAGTTGACGAAGCTTAATATATATATTATAATACTATCTCAGTTTAATACATCCTTGGCTTGAAACTTTCTTTTTATACTTTGTACTGTGCCGTAATAATAGTTTTAATTAATCAGTATTATCACTTCTACATATTTTTATCTCTAAGTTATTTTTATATTGATTTTGTAATTCTCACGAAGCAAAATTGATATATAATAACCAATGAATAAAATAGTAGAGTGAGAATAATTTTTAGTAAACTATTATTCCAAGTTTAATCTTGCTTGCCTCAGTTTTAGTTCTCACGGAGGAATTGTCGTAGGCAAGATTATTGATTTTTTAGTAAAAATATTCTCACGAAGTTTTTACTACCTCTTAGCACAATTCAAGCAAGAAAAATATTTCGGTCTAATTGTCACTAGTTTTAACTCAATTAATTACATAACCTCACGGAGTGCTATTAATTGACTACTTTTTAGTGAGCTAAATATAGTTGTATTAGCAATAAGCAATTATTCCTCAGAGAAATACATGTAAAAATTGAGATTTTATTGTAATATATTATTAAGTGAATTCAACGATTCCCAACTCTTTTAAATTATAAATCTTTCGAAAGTTCTTTGTTTTTATTTAAGTAATTAACAAGTTTAAACCTCACTTTCCATCAAATTGATTCTCTCACATAGTAGTTGAAATATTAAAAGTCTGTATCATAGATGTTCCGATCTCTGTGGGACGATATCATAAAGTATACTAGAATTTGACAAAGGACGAGCAGAAAAATCCTATACACATTGGCCTCGTCAAATTTTTGGCGCCGATGCCGGGGATTAGCATACATCTACTTCATATTAAATATTTTGTTACTAATTTGAGATCTTATTATTGTTATTTATCTGTTACTATTATCACTAATTACTAAGTAGTACTATAATTACTACTGTAATATTAATATTATCATTTTCTTTTTGTAACAGCACTTTAAAAAGACAAAAAATTATATTAGTACTTCTTCCTATTTCTGCTATCATTAGCTTTTCTTCATTATATCTAGTGTAATTATTATTAGTACTATCATCTATTGTATCAATTTTTTTTCTCATTGCTAGTACTTTGACGTATTTTTTTATTTTTCAATATAGTTTGTTGTTACATATTATTATTTTCTTATCATTGTTTAGTTATAATTATTTTCTGTAATATTATATTATTATTGTTAGTATTAGTATTTCTACAATGTTATTCTTATTGATCACTATTATTCACTAGTACAACTTTTGTTTATAATTAATAATACTATACTATTTCAATTCATTGTTAGTATTGTTATTGATGCTTACTTGTTAGTTTCATTGTTTTATATTTTTATTTTATATTACTAGACTAATTACTAGTATTATTATCTATAATATTGTGGTATTTATTTTTCTTCACTAACTATTTATATTTAAATTTTACTTTAGTTTAGTTATTAATTACTAGTACTATACTAGAAATTAATGTTTTTTTTTTTTTACTTTCAAATTTTTAAGTAGTTTATGACCCGCTCTTCTATAAAAAAAATTGGCTAATTACGATCCTGAAATTGAAGGATTTCTTCGATTGCGCAGGAAAGAACAAACATCGTCTTCTCAAGGAGCCACTTGTGAAGAAATGGAAAACCAGGATGCAGATGACATTAACTCACTAGGGATCCCACCACCAGTCCATGTAGAGGATCAATTTGATGAAATGGCGCCAAGGCCAGCAAACAGAATCCTTAGGGATTATGCTAGACCTGATCGCTTCAACTGTGAATCTAGTGTTAGGAAGCCCCCAGTGGCAGCCAACAACTTTGAAATCAGAACCGGCCTGATTCAGACAATTCAACAATCTTGTATCTTCACTGGTGATACAAGTGAAGACTCACAGTCATTTAATTGATTTTCTAGAACTTGTAGAAACTGCTAAGTGCAATGGAGTACCTCCTGAAGCTATCAAGTTAAGGCTATTTCATTTTTCTTTGAAAGGAGATGTCAAGACTTGGTTGCGAAGTTTGCCTCAAGGGTGGTCCATTACGATATGGGACCAAATGACTCAGAAGTTTTTAAACAAATATTTTTCCCCTGCTAAAACAACAAAGTTAAGACAAGACATATCTAATTTCTTGCAGACTGACACTGAGTCAGTTTATCAAGCTTGGGAAAGATTAAAAGCAATGTTAAGAAAATGCCCACACCATGACATTCCTGAACATATGCAATTGTACATTTTTCACCATAGGTTAAAACCCTCTGCTAGAAATGTGATAGATGCAGATGCAGATGCAGGAGGTTCTGTAATGGGAAAAACCACAGAGGAAGCATTGCAACTGTTGAATGAAATTTCTGAGAACGCTATCCAATGGCCATATGAGCGTGTAATCATTAAAAAGGCTGTTACGATAAATTAGGTTGATGCTTTAAATACACTAACGCAACAGATTGTTTCTTTGGCACAAAAGTTTGAATCTTTTCAGGTGAATACACAACAATCAAATCAATCTGAGGCTTGTGACATGTGCGGAGGAAACCACCAGAACCATGAATGTCAAGCAACCAATCAAACGGATGAACGGGTTAATGTCATCGATTACAAGCCAAGTCCAATGGCACAGAAGCATCCATGATTTCGGTGGAGTAACCCAAATGGTGCAGAAAACTCTCAAAGCTTCCAGAAACAACAGGTACAAGGTCCGCCGGGATACTAAAGTCAAAATCGTGGGCAACCGAGTTACAGACCCTATTAGCAAGCAAGACCATATCAACAAGCAGGGTCATACCAGCAGAGGCCCCAACAAGCCCATCCAAGTCTTGATGACCTTTTGTACAAGTATATTAAGGTCACTGATGAAAAGATGGAAAGCCAAAATTCATCCCTCAAAAATCTGGAAATTCAGTTAAGTCAATTGGCAGCTCTTGTGTCAGAAAAGATTCAGGGTCCCTTACTAAGCAATACAGAGAAAAATTCAAAGGAGCACCTTAAGGCCATCACTTTACGGTCAAGTAAGGAACTTGATGAACCTTATGCAGACAGACAAGAAAAGAACCAGACAGAACAACATGTAGACAAGGGTAAGAATTTTGAAAAACCATTTGAACCATCAAAGGATAAACAAATAAAGAATAAGGAAGAAAAAATTTCTGAAAAAATGGCTGCCCCACCTGTGACAATTCCATTTCCACAAAAAATGAAACGAGAAAAGCTTGATGGTCAATTTGCAAAGTTTTTGGAAATCTTAAAACAGATTCATATTAATATTTCTTTTACTGATGCTTTATTGCAAATGCCTTCATATGCTAAATTTTTAAAAGAAATTTTGTCAAGTAAAAGGAAATTAGAAGAAGTTTCTGTGGTAATGCTTACTGAAAAATGCAGTGCTATACTTCAAAATAAGCTACCACAAAAACTTGGTGATCCTAGCAGTTTTACCATTCCGTGCATTCTGGGAGGAGTCTATTTTGAAAAATCACTTTGTGATTCTGGAGCTTCAATAAATTTGATGCCATTTTCTATCTTTAGAAAATTGGATCTTAGTGAAATGAAGGACATAGGTATTTATCTTCAGTTTGCAGATCAAAGTACTAAGAAACCTAAGGGAATAATTGAAAATGTGCTTGTAAGAGTAGATAAGTTTGTTTTCCCTGTAGATTTTATAGTACTTGAAATGAAAGAATGTACTGATGAACCAATAATTTTGGGTAGACCATTTCTTGCTACAGGAAGAGCAATCATAGATGTTCATCAAGGGCAACTAATCTTGAGAGTTGATGAAGAAAGAGTCATTTTTTATATGCAAAAGATACTAAGATTTTCAGGAGATGAGGCATCATATCTATGCTTTTCTATTGACATGATTAGTGATATTGCAGATGAATTCAAAGATAATCAATTAATTTCAGACTCAATGGAAATATGTTTGACCAGATCAGGCACCGCACAAGATGATGATCCCATAATTAGGAGAGAAACTGAAATACTGGAAAAAGATTCAGAGGATAAGGAGATGCAATCAGAAGAAGTTCAACCAAAAATTAAACTCAAAGTTCTTCCCTCTCATTTAAAATA